TACTAAAACTCTGCTGACAAAACCCTTACATTAATAGTCCCCGGGGTTTCATCATCTGATTAGCAGTGCATGGTTCACCACTGACATGATTTTTAACATACATTTCTTAAATTTTTTATTGATAAATTTGAAGGTTATAAACAAAATAATGTTCTAGTCCCCTTCGACAAAGTTCGCCTTAGACAATTTTGTTTTTACTGTTCTGTTTTGGTTATAAAACTTCTGAGTTTTTTACCCGGCTTTCAAAGTTTTGGTTTCAAGCGTTCCTGTCGAAAGTCAATCCACAAAAAAGAGCATCAGACGAACCAATTTTTTAGAGTTTTATTTTAATTTACTTTTACATAGTATACCTATTAAGAGGAGAAAATTTCCGATCTATCAAGAATGCTCTCATATTATAAATGTCAAGTTGAATAATGATTTGCAATTATAAACATTTGTCATGTACCAGATTGAATCTTACCAGTGAGGTCATGTCTATAACAGATACATGAAGATTTTTTTTATAGGGAAGTAATTTCGGTAACAGCAAAGACAATACCGGATTTAAACAATTCACAGTTGTAATCCGGATTTTATTATCGTTGGAACTTCAAATAGCCCTCTAAGTGGTTTATGATGAAAAAGCAAATGATCAGGAAACGATAAGACAAAAATAAAATAAAAATATTTTGATATACAAAGTTAGATGAGTTCAATATTTTAACTTATCTCTTGTTATATAACCAGAAAGGTCGAGGGCACCTTACAATATAAAACTCAAAATATTGATTAGTTGACACTGGTCTCGTAACTGTATTTACTCTTTGAAATACCCTTTGGTACCCTTCGCCTCTACTTTAAGTGTGGTTTAAGATATTGTTTCATTTTGAATAATTATGAATGTCTAAGGTTGTTTGCCTCGAATTTCTAAATAGATATTGACGTATTCTAATTTAAATATATAAAATGACAGGACAAGAGTAAATTGCAGTTTAAATACGTATTTTTACAAAGTTTGTTGACTGGAATGAAGATCCAGAAGTGCCACTGGACTAAGAGGATGTGTAAGAAATTTGGCTTCCAAATAAGTCAAGTTCGGAACCCTCGAAGAGTTATTTCAATAGCCCTTAAACGTGTAAACACCATACAACTATCCTTTCACGGAGCATCAGATTAAAAATTCATTTCGACTGTGTCTGCGTACTCGCACATCCCGAGGCAAGGACGGAAAAAATGTTGTAGCCATCTTGCTTCACTCCAGTACACCTATGGGATTTTTTATTATGTTTGATAATTTTTATGTCAGATGTTCATAGCAGCGGTGAACATATATGCTATATATAACTTTATCACAAAAATTGTTATCCTTCATTTTTTGTTATCCTCTACTAAAAGGTACATTGTATCCTTAAATTAAATACCGATAGTACATACTTTTGATCTTACCTTCGTCCCTTTTCAACTATGCAGTGTAACATAAAAGAATAACATATAAATATAATATATATCTAATACCCTTAAAACATAAACGAAGATCAGAATGGTAATTAATGTTGAAATCAGTACATTCCAGTATAATATAATTTTTATTCGGGCTTTACAGGGGATATGGGTTTATATATCCCAAAATGTATTTAAATATTGCTTTCGTTAGTCGAGTAATGCCTCTACTCGTCGGCTTTATCTAGGGTTGTAACACAGTACATGATGTATAGTGGCAAGTAGATGGCGTACCTTTCATATTAGCCATGTTTGTTCTGTCGTAAAAGATGATAATATTACTAACCATGCCGCCACATCAAATTTTAATTTAATTATATACGTCTAAACATATGACAACTCTACGACAGACATTGTCCATCGGATAACCCGTGGTTATACATGTCTGACACCATAATATATATATATATATATATATATAATTCGTCTCAAATTTAGCCCAACAATGTTATATATATATTTATATGTATGAACGGCCACCGTAGCGACTATGAATGCAAGCCAAACCTTCCTCTCAGTCGACATTTGAAATCCCCTAGCCACACTAAGGCAGATCTCAATCGACTGACCATTTCAATCATAGACCACAACACTGCTTGGTCTAGGGAGGATAGACTCACTCGGGAAAGATTTTGGATAAGAAAATTAAAAACTTTGGCACCAAATGGGATCAATGAAAAGGTGTAGTTCTAATTCGCGCAGTGCTTTTCATTTGGGTTATATTACATATTACTATGCAGTTTTTGTTGTTATTCCTTTACCTATGTCACCTCTGAAATTCTAGAATTATATCAGTATAAATTACAGGGTGCTATTCATTTGGGATGTATAAATACGCAGCCACGGTGAATTACTTAACCTTTTACAAAATTGGCAATTTAAAAATTATCAAACTGCTATTTAGTTGGGATGAGTAAATACGCAGCCTCTGTTGTAATTATTTTACCTTCGTCAAATTTGAAATTTGAGTATTATACCAGCTCAAATCAGTCACTGCTATTCATTGGGAATGTATTTGGCCCGAGAACACAGTTATTTCGTAGTGCATTTCTTTTAGACAATAAAGTCAAATTAAAAAAATCGCACCTGCTCTATCTCAAAAAGATTTTTACAGTGTAGTGTACTACTATTGGGACAAATAATATCAAAATTATAGAAAAGTCAACGAGCTCTAACTCAAAATATTGACAATTCTATGTTAAGGGGGTCTAAAATTCAGTTTGACAGCTTCAGACATACTAGTTTAACTGGACCAAATCACTATTTAACATAGATTCAGCACCCAAATTTTTTATCCCCTTACTTAATATTTCATGCATAAAATATAAAGAAATAAATTTGGAAAGTGTATGAAAAAAATTTTGCAAGTTATACACTGTCCACACTAGGGACTATATTTGTAGACAACGAAAATATAACTGTGTCCTCGGACCATTTCTACACAGTCTTTGTTGTAATAACTCAACTTTCGTCTCCTGTGGAATTTCATTTTACATCATAATCATACTGATGAAGGATATCTGTTATCCGAAATATTTATAGATACTTACATATAATGCATAGCATTTAATGTTTCCTTTTCTTCAATATTTGTGTTGTTTTGTACACTTTTGAGGCGTTTATATAATTCATTTATTGTTAACAGGTATCGTTACTCGTAAAGATCCAGCGCCCTCGTAAGAAAGATCGTTGACTAATATCTAGACGTTTTATATATATATATTTATATATATACAAGTCTAAATTGAAAACAACGTTCAAACCTATGATTGCGTTGGATAAAAACCGCAATTTTTATACGTGTGCATGTAAAACAAGTTTCTTGGTAGAGGGGTCTAAATACAGCACAAACAACATTTTCCAAAAGACCAAAAAAGTGAAAATTATATTTTAACAAAACGCATTTGACTAGCAGGTCGAACAACGTATGTTCTTAAACCCTGTTGACTGCCATGGCGATTGCCAAATAAACAGATCACCAGATGTAACAAAGTGAATCTTAATTATTAATTAAATACCTAACAGAAAACCATAAACTTGCGGAAAAGATGGTATACCGCAAACATGAGGTGCAAAAATTTGTACACCATATCCGGATTTCGACAATTAATGTCTCTTCAGTGATGTTAGGAATCGAAACGGTATTTGGAAGGCCATATAATTTACCTCAATTTAGGATAGACTCTTGAATTTTGAAGAGTCGAAATAGGATGAACGGATTATATAAACTTGAAGGCAAATATAATACAAGCCCAAACGAAAAAATATAAACAAGTCTAAATTGAAAACAAGGTTCAAACCTATATGATTGTGTTGGTTAAAACCGCAATTTTTATACGTGTGCGTGCAAAACAAATTTCTTGGTAGAGGGGTCTAACTACAGCACAAACAACATTTTCCAAAAGACCAAAAAAGTGAAAAAGTATATTTTAACAAAACGCATTTGACTAGCAGGTCGAACAACGGATGTTCTTAAACCCTGCTGACTGCCATGGCGATTGCCAAATAAACGGATCACCAGAAGTTACAAAATGGATCTTAATTATTAATTTAATACCAAACAGAAAACAATAAACTTGCGGAAAAGATGGTATACCGCAAACATGAGGTGCAAAATATATATTTATATATATGTAATTCCTATAAATAGCAGAAAATAACATACAAATCTATTTGAGTGTGGATTAATCAGTACAAAGATTATAATAATACAATTACACAAATGAAATTATAAATTGCCAGTTCGATGAAGCTATTTTGTCTAGCGAAATATTGCGTTTATTTTTTATCGCATTGTAAATATTTTTAACATTTTAATATTTACATATTGAATAGTGTGTTAAAACTACATTGTTAGGCAATTTATATTTATATATGTGTTATATATATATCATTTGATGTGGCGGCATGGTAATCAACATTATCATTCTTTACGACAGACCAGACAAAATAGCTGATCTGAAAGGTACACCATTTACTTGCCACTATACATCATGTACTGTGTTACAACCCTAGATAAAGCCGACGAGGAAAGGCATAAGATCGACCACCGAAAGCTATATTTTTATGTAGCCTAGGTGGTCTAGTGGTCTAGGGCGATGTGTCAAAAGCAAGGGTTCGAATCCCGCTGAGGGAAAAAAACAAAACTTTGCTAAAGCAAATTTGAAGATCTATCATTGTTGGGCTAAATTTGAGACGAGTTATATGTATATGTATATGGTTTTCTTTATCAATGTTCTCGGGCGTAGCTGAGAAATTCTAAGGATAACGCAGAAAGATGTGTCATGTCTTAAACAGGATATCGGAGAAACACGTGTCATACATAATGAAGGATATCAGAGAAACACGAGTCATACCTGAAGAAGGATATCGCAGAAAAAGATATCATACATGATGCAAGATGATATATACATAATATTTTTAATAAATACAAATTGTGCATACACTAGACGCATTGTATAAATGTTATGCTTCACCTTGCTTTCATTCTTAAATGTACTGAAAATAGATTAACTTACCTCAGACTAAACTTGTTGTGTGGCTTTCAACATCGACACAAAGACAATAAGTCTTCTTTTCGTGACATTTTAACAAGAACAGTGATGTTCACTTATTCTAAACAAGAAAAGTGTAACGTGTAATATTACTTTTAAATTTAAACAGGTGGGAAAAACATGTACATTTACTGATTTTATTGCCAAAACATATCAGATGTAAAAAAAAATATTTGACCTACATTTAATTTAAAAGCTTGATACATTTAAAATTTTATTATTTCTGTGTCCTACAGGTAAATGTGGATTTGTGTACTAACAGAAGCCTTAAAATCAGGGACACAGAATTATTCTGCAATGTGAAGGGATACAATAATTCATAAAAAATGATGTCAAATATCATTACTGAAAATCGATTCGAAATTGAACTATTGTTGGTGTAATCTTGGTGTAATTTGTTGGAGTAAACCTTGTGTAAATCATCATACATTGTAATTATTATAATACATCATACGTAATTTTCGAATTTTCAAAATCAACCATTTATAAAACTTCAAAGTAATACTAAATCCATATCGAAATTTAGAGTTGAAGATCCACCTTTTATTGTTCTTCAAAAACTTAATTCGTTCTTAAGTTTTGATGATTTGGTTGATCGTTATAGAATATCTGCGTCACAGATGACCACGAATATGTTCAACCAGTTTCCTCCATTGTGAAATTGCCAATTACTGCTATTCACCGAGTTTTTTTTACTTGCAATGAATAAAACGACGGATGCGTTTTGTGGAGCAATAACTGCCTAACATTCCACCCACGGTTTTTTCCCAAATCTTAAGTTTTCTCTGTAGTGTTTTCTGGAGCAATAACTGCCTTACATTCCACCCACGGTCATTTCCCCAATCTTAAGTTTTCTCTGCAGTGTTTTGTGGAGCAATAACTGCCTAACATTCCACCCACGGTTTTTCCCCAATCTTAAGTTTTCTCTGCAGTGTTTTGTGGAGCAATAACTGCCTAACATTCCACCCACGGTTTTTTCCCCAATCTTAAGTTTTCTCTGCAGTGTTTTGTGGAGCAATAACTGCCTAACATTCCACCCACGGTTTTCCCCAATCTTAAGTTTCCACTACAGTGTTTTGTGGAGCAATATCTGCCTAACATTCAACCCACGGTTTTTCCCCCAATCTTAAATTTCTCTGCAGTGTTTTGTGGAACATTCCACCCACGATTTTTTCCCCAATCTTTAAGTTTTCTCTGCAGTGTTTTGTGGAGCAATAACTGCCTAACATTCCACCCACGGTTTTTTCCCCAATCTTAAGTTTACTCTGCAGTGTTTTGTGGAACATTCCACCTACGGTTTTTTCCCCAATCTTAAATTTTCTCTGCAGTGTTTTGTGGAGGCATAACTGCCTAACATTCCACCCACGGTTTTCCCCAATCTTAAGTTTTCACTGCAGTGTTTTGTGGAGCAATAACTGCCTAACATTCAAACCCCCTTTTTTTCCCCCAATCTTAAGTTTTCTCTGCAGTGTTTTGTGGAGCAATAACTGCCTAACATTCCACCCACGGTTTTTTCCCCAATCTTAAGTTTACTCTGCAGTGTTTTGTGGAACATTCCACCCACGGTTTTTTCACCAATCTTAAGTTTTCTCTGCAGTGTTTTGTGGAGCAATAACTGCCTAACATTCCACCCACGGTTTTTCCCCAATCTTAAGTTTAATCTGCATTGTTTTGTGGAACATTCCACCTACGGTTTTTTCCCCAATCTTAAGTTTTCTCTGCAGTGTTTTGTGGAACATTCCACCCACGGTTTTTTCCCCAATCTTAAGTTTTCTCTGCAGTGTTTTGTGGAGCAATAACTGCCTAACATTCCATCCACGGTTTTTTTCCCAATCTTAAGTTTTCTCTGCAGTGTTTTGTGGAGGAATAACTGCCTAACATTCCACCTACGGTTTTCCCCAATCTTAAGTTTTCACTGCAGTGTTTTGTGTAGCAATAACTGCCTAACATTCCACCCACGGTTTTTTCCCCAATCTTAAGTTTTCTCTGCAGTGTTTTGTGGAGCAATAACTGCCTAACATTCCGTCCACGGTTTTTTCCCCAATCTTAAGTTTTCTCTGCAGTGTTTTGTGGAACATTCCACCCACGGGTTTTTCCCCAATCTTAAATTTTCTCTGCAGTGTTTTGTGGAGCAATAACTGCCTGACATTCCACCCACGGATTTTTCCCCAATCTTAAGTTTTCTCTGCAGTGTTTTGTGGAACATTCCACCCACGGTTTTTTCCCCAATCTTAAGTTTTCTCTGCAGTGTTTTGTGGAGCAATAACTGCCTAACATTCCATCAACGGTTTTTTTCCCAATCTTAAGTTTTCTCTGCAGTGTTATGTGGAGGAATAACTGCCTAACATTCCATCTACGGTTTTCCCCAATCTTAAGTTTTCACTGCAGTGTTTTGTGGAGCAATAACTGCCTAACATTCCACCCACGGTTTTTTCCCCGATCTTAAGTTTTCTCTGCAGTGTTTTGTGGAGCAATAACTGCCTAACATTCCAGCCACGGTTTTTTCCCCAATCTTGAGTTTTCTCTGCAGTGTTTTGTGGAACATTCCACACACGGTCATTTCCCCAATCTTAAGTTTTTCTCTGCAGTGTTTTGTGGAGCAATAACTGCCTGACATTCCACCCACGGTTTTTTCCCCAATCTTAAGTTTTCTCTGCAGTGTTTTGTGGAACATTCCACCCACGGTTTTTTCCCCAATCTTTAGTTTTCTCTGCAGTGTTTTGTGGAGCAATAACTGCCTAACATTCCACCCACGGTTTTTTCCCAAATCTTAAGTTTTCTCTGCAATGTTTTGTGGAGCAATAACTGCCTAACATTCCACCCACGGTTTTTTCCCCAATCTTAAGTTTACTCTGCATTGTTTTGTGGAAAATTCCACCTACGGTTTTTTCCCCAATCTTAAGTTTTCTCTGCAGTGTTTTGTGGAACATTCCACCCACGGTTTTTTCCCCAATCTTAAGTTTTCTCTGCAGTGTTTTGTGGAGCAATAACTGCCTGACATTCCACCCACGGTTTTTTCCCCAATCTTAAGTTTTCTCTGCAGTGTTTTGTCGAGGAATAACTGCCTATCTTTCCACCCACGGTTTTCCCCAATCTTAAGTTTTCTCTGCAGTGTTTTGTGGAGCAATAACTGCCTAACATTCCACCCACGGTTTTTTCCCCAATCTTAAGTTTTCTCTGCAGTGTTTTGTGGAGCAATAACTGCCTAACATTCCACCCACGGTTTTTTCCCCAATCTTAAGTTTTCTCTGCAGTGTTTTGTGGAACATTCCACCCACGGTTTTTCCCCAATCTTAAGTTTTCTCTGCAGTGTTTTGTGGAGCAATAACTGCCTAACATTCCACCCACGGTTTTTTCCCCAATCTTAATACTCTGCAGTGTTTTGTGGATTATTGTTTTCGTTTTCGTTTTGGCAATGATGTTGACTATTTTTGTTCAAATTTTTGTTTTTGATTACCCTTAATGTATCTTCTACCTCTCTTTTCTGCTTTTGAATTCCATTACAATCTGTATAAAATCATGTTCATTTAGAGATTGACATATATTGTTTAGGCGTTTGTTTGTTTTTAGGACCGTATACATGTTTGTATCAATTTGATTATTTTTTACGGTTGATGTTTTATTGACATTTATCGAATATCTCGGTTCAGTCACATTTAATAGATCTTATCGCTATTTGGAATTCTGAGACCCTTGATCTGTAGGCGCCATACAACAATTACTTTTGGACTGTGGGCTAAGATATCCTATAATAACGGATATATAAAGATAAATTGAAAATAATGATATGACTGACCCCTTACACTAAAGCAAAATATATATTTTTTTTATTTTGAATAATCATTTATCTGGAGAACACATAGATTCAGAACATACATCTTCGCTGGCCATGGGTTACGATCCAGTCCTCAACTCTCTTAAGTGTGGAGGTTTTAAAAATGGCTGCGTCTAGCATTTACAAACATCGTAAAGCTGGAACCGAAAATATACGTTGACATTCCAACATTTGCGCAAGAAACATACCCAGGAACTTTTTTTAGTTGATTAAGAACTTTAAAATTGTCACCTAATATCGTCGTATGTTGTTTTTGTATTTTTGGAGGGGAGTTAAAGACTTGTTGCACAATCAGCATGTGGCAATTATTTATTTACACTTTCAATATATACACGCGATCATCTTAAAGGCGCTTTTAGATCGGATGCAGCCAGCTACAACTGCGACCAATGGAATAATTACCTCAAGGATCCGAAATGCTATCTTAATCCGACAAGGGTGTAGAGGAGGGGACTAGTCGTAACCCTTGGCTAGCGAAGATGCAAACCATATAACTAACAACTGAATTCTCACTATTTCCAGTCGTGTCATATCTCATATCTCATATTAAATTTTTCTTCTTCCGTTGCATTTTGTTTTTGTAAAACATACATATTCCTGCAATGTTTTAGTCATCATTAAATGTTTTTGTGTAAATATTTGTATTGACAGAGGACGTCTTTAATTTTTTTTAAACTTACACCCAATCAATTTTGAAAATAAAATATGTTTACACTGTTATCAAAAAAATATAAATTTCATAATTTCCAGCATTTGTGCTCTTTTTTATTTTTCTGTGAAGCGTGTTGCAAGCAATTTTATATCTAAAGAATAGCTTTTATACATATATGTTTTTATATTGAACAAAAGCATTGTGTCTCATAGACAAGGTTGTTTCCAATTTTGTCATGGGATGACATGCTTGAATATTCAGCTACATTCATGTTTGTTCATTGAGAGGTTAATAAGAGTTTTACCTACGGTCAAGAACAACATTGAAGGATCTCACTCAAATCAGACAGATATGAAAAATATTGCAAAAGAAATTGAGGAACTTGATATGGGTTCAACCGTTATTATGAAAGTTTAGTAAATAACTATGTTTAATATTCATGTTGAAACTACTGAATGAAGACGGAATCCCCTATAATAGTTATTTCTGTCATAAAGCTTAGTGGACGGAAACTATTGTGATCCTTGTGCTTAACCCTGTCCAAGACAGACGCTCCTCTATACAGTGTAATCAAAGGGGCATTAGCTACAAGATATACAAAAATTGTGAAATACGATTTTTTTTTTTTGGTTCAACCATTAATAAAAGTCAAATAGTGAAATAATAATTCGCGTTTAGCAGCCAGTTTGGATGAATTTTGACAAAATAAGCTAAGAAAACTCGCTGATGAATTATTCACCTGCAAGTGAATAATTCGACCTCATACAATCCGTTTTCATGTGACCTTCAATTTAACCCGTTAGCTAGAGATGGGTTACGCATAAAATAGGCGTGTTCAGCTATCAAAAGGAAAAGAATGTCAACATTGAAAGGGAAACAATGGTAATCCATTTAGTCGATCCACAAAAACTCATTCTTATACAGGTAAAATCAATGATTAACATATTTTTTAACCTCTAATATGAAATCATGCATGCCTAGAAAAATCCAATTGCACGTGTTTGCTATCTAGTTATATCTATATTTATGTTCATATCGGGTTATATGACCGTCGGCTATGGAACGCCACAGCTGTTTTATGTGGAACTCTGATATTACGTTATGTTGTTCTGTTATTACTTGATGATAGTTTGTCTTTACATAATATGATTTTGACATTACGTAATGATGTTTTGATATAACTCAATATAGAAAAGTCATTACTTAATGATATTCCAATATTACATGATATGGTTTCGTATTGACTTGATATAGTTTTGTCATTACTTAATATGGTTTTGTCATTACTCGATGTGGTTTCACCATTATTTAATGTGGTTGTGTCATTAGGCAATGTGGTTTTAACATTACTTGATGTGTATGTGACTTGACGTAATGTAGTTGTTACATTACATGATGTGGTTTTGTTATTTCGTAATGATGATTTGCCAATTCTTTATATGGCTTTAACATTACGTAATGATGTTTCAAAATTTGACGATTTTACACTACATGATGTGTTTGTTTCAGTTTTTGATGTGGTCATGTCATGATTCTTTGATGTGGTTATCCCATTACTACTACGAGGTAAAACCACGTGACCATTTTGGAAAAAATATGTTCTATTTTTAGACCGATTTTCATATGTCGTTTGTGTAATGCGCTTTGGATGAGTACCGCTATCCATTAAGTTAAAGTTCAAATTAAAGTTCAAGTTGTTGTTCAGAGTTATTTGGTATGAAAAAAGGAACGACAGACAAAAATAAGAAAAAAAGTACTAAAATATTAACAGTAATTCGGACATATCCCAAACCATTTGGTCCTGCCGTGTTTTCCTTAGTTCTCAAATGGAAGCTGTAAATTAATAAATAAATTAAAGATTCTAATTAACCCTGTGTCTAGCCGGATAATTCTGCTGTCAATGTAAAAGCGTAAATTAAATGTTGACTGACTGTACATTAACCGGTACACTTAACGGAGGAAAACATGTTTTTCTGTAGATGGAGGTTTACAAATTTATCATGTCAAAACAGTTTAATTCGGTAATATTAAATGCATTAAAAAAACCTTATATAGAAATAAAGAAATGTGGTATGATTGCCAATGAGACAACTCTCAACCACATACCAAATTTCGAGTTGAACTTCGAGTTTGAGTCACAGTTAAAGATAGAGTTCCGAATTACAATTGGACTTCAACTTTAAATTTGAGTCACCTTTTTGCGTAGAGTATAAGGTAAACCCTTATTTGAGTCTCATTTAGAGATTAAGAGTTGAAATTCGAGTTATCTAATATGAGTTCTATTTTTTTTTATCGTGGATCAAGGGCTTTTGCTCGAGCTTCCGAAAAGAGGGTTCAGGGGTAGGTATGCGTACAAAAGATAAACAATTTTACAGCATACAAAACACAACATAGAAATTGAAATAAAGTTAGATGTGGTGTGATTGCCAATGAGAAAATTATCCACCATAGTTTAAATCCAGTGGATGCAAGCAATCATAGGCAACCGTACAGCCTTCAACACACCGTATAGTCGGCTACAAAAGACCACCACGTGAAAATGTGTAACAATTCAAACGAGAAAACTAATGGTCTAGTTTATAGCTAAACAATCTACGAATAAACAACTGCCCCATGAACGCATGATACGCCCGTCGTCTTGTGTGTGAATTTTTATGCAATAATCATAAATAGTTTCTGACATACGGCGCGACATGCGAACCCCCCCTCCCTTTTTTTTTAAAACTCAATATCTCTAAAATAAAATTTTGAATCATAACCAAAAAGTGTACAGATCTTAAGATTAATATAACTAAGAAGTGTGTAAAAATTTAAGCAATAATCATAAATCGTTTTTGAGATACGGCGCGACATGTGAAAACCCCCCTTTTAAAAAAAAACAAAAAATCAATATCTCTGAAATAAAATTTTGAATCAAAACCAAAAAGTATACAGATCTTTAGATTAATATAACTAAGAAGTGTATAAAATTTTAAGCAATAATCATAAATCGTTTTTGAGATACGGCGCGACATGTGAAAAACCCCTCCCCCTTTTTTTTTACAAAATACTCAATAACTCAATAATAAAATTTTGAATCATCACCAAAAAGTATACAGAACTTAAGATTAATATAACTAAGAAGTGTGTAAAGTTTTAAGCAATAATCATAAATTGTTTTTGAGATACCGCGCGACATGTGAAAAAAATACACACACCTGTTTTAGTTACTAAGTCCCGTAACTCAAAAAGTTTTAATCTTATTTTCACCAAAAAGTATACAGATTGTTTGACCATCATTAGAAACAACTATGTTAAGTTTCATGAAATGTGGATAAGTCGTTCTCAAGTTACGGTGCGACATGTTTACGCCGGACAGACAGACGGACAGACGGACAGACTACATTTGTATACCATAATACGTCCCGTCAAAATTTTGACGGGCGTATAAAAACAAATATGACACACATGAAACAACGACAACCATTGAACTACAGGTTCCTGAATTGGGGCAGGCATTTAAAGAAAGTGCACGCGGCGGAGTTTAACATGTATGTAAGCGCTAATCCCTATCCTAACCTAGTGTATCATAGCACAGCATAAGAAGAAAATGTGAAGACAGTTTTGATTGGCTCAACTAAATAGATCAGTATGACTGGGTAACATAAATCCATCAGCGTGATCTCGGGTGCTTTGGAAGGGTAAGCGGATTCTGCTTAACTTGTGGCACCCGTCGTGTTATTCGTGAAAGAACAAACCCAGTGATTTGGTTTTTTTGGTAGTTTACATTCGAGGAAAAGATGACGGGATTGTGGTTACGACAACTGGAACCAATTCGTCGTCACCTGTGAAACAGATATTTCAAAAAGTTTTTTTTTTCAATTAGTGCGTGGTATATCAGAAACTGCAATTCATAAAAAAAAGTTTAATATTCATATGTTCAAATGAACATACACGCTTAAAAAAAAATGGAGAATTCTTATTTTATAGAATTGATGCTTTGTTGCTTAGTCCTATACCCCCCCTCCCGATTTCCCTTTAACTTTAGTGCGAGTTGATTTAAAGTGTCTCATTTGTTGAAAATACAGTTCAAGTCTTTTGGTTTGTGTTGTACCTGCGAAAATAATGTAGCGACAGTGAGATACAACAAACCTATATGCCGTCGTCGGTAGTATCGTCGGCGTCTTCATCATTTAGGTTGTTAGGTTTCTAGTTTGAACTGTTTTTATATTTTTCATTTCGAGACCTTTTTAAACTTACTATGTGGTATGAATTTTGCTCATTCTTAAAGACCATACAGTCACACATATATGTTAACTTCTACGTCATTTGTTATGTGGTTGAGAGTTGTCTCATTGGCAATCATACCACATTTTTTTTTATTTCTATGTAAGGTTTTTTTTTTGGCATTGAATATTACCGAATTAAACTATTTTGACATGATAAATTTGTAAACCTCCATGAATTGTTATAAAACTTGTATAGGAGTTATTCTTCAGGACCAAGATAAAGCAGTGTTCCTTGGCCATTTACGAATTTTTTTATAATACTGCTTCCATTTGAGAACTAAGGAAAAACCGGCAAGTGGTTTTGGGATATCCCCCTTATGTCCGAATTACTGTAAATGTTTTAGTACTTTTTTTCTTAATTTTGTCTGTCGTTCCCCTTTTTCATACCAAATAACTATGAACAACAACTTGAACATTAATTTGAACTTTAACTTAATGAATAGCGGTACTCATCCAAACCGCATTACACAAAAGACATATGGAAATCGGTCTAAAAATAGAACATATTTTTTCCAAAGTGGTCATGTGGTTTTACCTCGTATTAGTAATGGGATAACCACATCAAATACTGAAACAAACACATTATGTAGTGTAAAATTGTCAAATTTTGAAACATCATTACGTAATGTTAAAGCCATATAAAGAATTGACAAATCATTATTACGAAATAACAAAACCACATCATGTAATGAAACAACTACATTACGTTATGTCACATACACATCAAGTAATGTTAAAACCACATTGCCTAATGACATAACCACATCAAATAATGGTGAAACCACATCGAGTAATGACAGAACCATATTATGTAATGACAAAACTATATCAAGTCAATACGAAACCATATCATGTAATATCGAAATATCATTATGTAATGACTATTCCATATTGAGTTATATCAAAACATCATTACGTAATGTCAAAACCATATTATGTAAATAAAAGACAAACTATCATCAAGTAATAATAGAACAACATAACGTAATATCAGAGTTCCACATAAGACAGCTGTGGCGTTCCATAGTCGGCAGTCTTGGGAGGTCTCATCAATGGTTAATTAGATGGTGTCTAGACTAAAATACATATGAAATGCTGATACATATTATCGAGTGCATGCATCGTAAATTGTTTATTTTAGACTTTTTATAGTTTGAACACTAGTATATGTTTTAGTATGTTATAAATCAGATATGAGAATTTGAGTAAAATCGGTGACATGAATTTGACAGCTAATGCTCCTTTAACGTACATTGATAGTTCTTTTAAAAATGTGTGCACATAGATGAAAATACATTTTTTTTAAATGAAACATGTGAAGAAGACGCTACAATTTAAATGTTGATGTAACATATGGTGACAAGTGGCTTCAAAGAATCGTATAGCTATTCTATAGTTCTATATAATGTGTATTGTCAAATATAGAAACGCACACAAGTGATAAATTTATTAGATATCTTCATGAGAGTCTGTGATGAAAAGAGAGCTTTTGGGTGTCTAACTGTCTTTCTGTTCATAAATTATAAATATATGTAGCTGTATACGGTTATGGTAATTATGACGTTTGAAAAGTTATATGTCTTTGAAAGTTGCGTTAAAAATTTACTGTTTCACAAAGCCGCACACATTATAAATTAGGTCTTCCACAAACTATATACAAGGCTTGTCCAGTCAGGAATTCAACCCAGGTTACGGTCCTAAAAAAATAAGATCATTTGGTATAAACATGTCAATCTTAGTCTGCACTGTTGATGATATGTATGTGCATATGTGTATAATTTGTTTCATTTGTAAATGAATTGTTTTTATTTTGATCAAGTGTGTGTGGGGTAAGAAAATACAGAAGTAGAAAAAATGTATTTATTTTTAAACTAAATTTGGAAAGAAAGTTTCATTTAATGTCAATTAATGATCTGATTTGACTAACCTACCAACATAGTCATTCATCAAGCTTTATTTTAAAATAAACCCGTGTGGCACAGTGTATCTCTGTCCTTTGTTTATTTTCATTAAATTTAAATACAGAAATGCACTCTTATCAATCAATCCTCTGCTTATATTTTAGTTACTGTTTTTCAATTTTTTCATTTCATAGTCATTTTCAAGAGATAAATCATGCAGATATTTACATGTAATAACCGCTTAAGTATCGAAAACCTAGCATTAAGACTAGTTGTAACATATCAAGTCTGTTTGACATACCCTTTGTTTTTCTTGTCATGGTCCATTACCATTTTCGCTGCTACATCTGCATGTAGAGATAAAGTTGACGAGTCAGTTCTGTAAAAAAAAAAAACACTACACTTTTCCTATTTACAGATGATGAATGTAATTGGTTTCTCAAACTATGCTTCTTTTTTTCTAATAGCCAGCATGGGAATATAAGTGGTATGATAATGCTTATCAGTTTCTGTAACTGTATTATGTTTTCTCTGCCGTAATTCAGTTTTTTGACGTATTCGGGCAGATATTCTTGATAGCTTGCATATCATAAATTCAAATTTTAAGATTTTTTTTGTATTTTTTTTATCTCAAAATTCTACTGTAATTTATGTTTATCAACTGGCCTTAAACAAATCCTATTAAAAGCTTCCGCTATTTTACCGATTGAAATTTACATACAACACGTTCTTTAAAAAAAAATCACTTTTTGGAATATAGAAAGAACTATACAAGAAATTCTTTGATATCACTAATTAAACGTTCGACATTTATTATGGTTTATTTAAGCTGTGTCATAAATATCGATCGCTAGAACGAAACAAAGAAAAAATAAAAAGAAACACAGTTGTTCGTTAGACACTATTCATAGTATATACTCCAAAGAAAGACAACTCTTTTCTTTCTATTAGTTGCTTAATAACTGGTAAATTCATTCACAAGAGATGTACTGATTGAAAATTTTATTAAAACCTCGCCAACACATACATGTACGTCTAGCTATCACAGAGAAAATTCACATTTAATAGAAATGAATAAAGAAATTCATAGTTAGGAATCTTGTATACCATTCTGAAAAAATACAATACATTAAATTAACAATACTAACACATCAAATCTTTTGTACCAGTTTCTGTAGGCTGTCAAAGCTTTAGTATGTGTTACTAGACCATCACCATCATCATCCATATGAGAGAACACAGCTTTTGCATGAACTATTTCCTTTTCTGTGAGCATGTCTAATAAATCATCCTACGAATGAAGATCTAAATATATTAATTTATCTTACACCCTATACATTTCTAAGAATATAATTCCTTTTCTGTGAGCATGTCTAATAAATCATCCTACGAATGAAGATCTAAATATATTAATTTATCTTACACCCTATACATTTCTAAGAATATAATTGGTTAAAAGCAACCGCGTGGAAACCGTGTATATTTCATATGGGGTTAGTAGGCGTAGTTTATTTCAATACACGGTTCACGGTTAGTAGTGGTGTTACGTCCCTTTGTAAAAACAACACGGTGTTGAAGGAAAATCTCATAGGTTTCAACAGACGAAGAAATTGATGGTGAAAGATTGAAATAAATGCAGAAAACACAATAAAAGCTAACCAGTTGTTGGCATTTGTTTTGTATAGACCAATGGAAATAGGTTCTTAATATTGAAGACTTGACCACTTTGATAGGCCACATGCTAAGATAGTCTGTAAGATAAATTCGTTACACAGTGTGCTAGCGACCTTTTACAAATTATATGGGGTCAGTAAATTCCATATGGCTCGAACCCCATATGGAATTTACTGTCCCTATATATATCGTATTAGGTTACTAGCACACTATGTGGCTAATAATAGATGGCATATCGCACATACTAATATACATCAACAACATCTTAAAATCAATGCGTTCTATAAAATCATAATAAAAAATCCTAAACAAAAAAAAGATAAAGTACTCAAGTCGACATTGTAAAAAAACTATGGTGAATCTTTAGCCAGTTTAGAGTAGTTTGTTTTTGTTTATACCGGTTTTTTTTTTAATATGAGATACCGTGATAGTGACATTATTAAGATCACTAAGTTATGGAATAGTTATGGAAAGAAATGTACTATTATATATATGAATACCTGAGGAAGAATCGTGACTATACCGGTATATGAGTAATTCATTGTAAATAAAGAACACTGCAGGGTTGAATTTACCTAAACGACATGTGTAACATACATGTACGTCGGTGTGAAAACAATAACAAAAAACACAAAAAAAGAAAAGACATCTTAATATCAACATACAATCTGGACAAGTGTGTCTTTACAATCTCACTGTGTCTTAACTACCCCGGCAAAAAATGTTTGGACTCGATAGTATCTAATGTCCGGCACGGTGACGGACAATCAACAGACAGAGAAAAGGTAGAATTTCTGTTTATCTATTTGTTTTTTAATGACATTGAAGAATAAACATACACATATAACTATTTTCGATTGTGTGATGTAATATTTTCTACAACCTTTCTAGATTAGTGGAGAAATAAGTAAAAAGGCACATGAAAATGGTGAATTGAGTGAACCTTGCTACGAATTTGTTTAATTTCTTTTTAAATTGTGAACATTGTACAGAAAGAAAAGTACGGAAAGAAAGATATTAACACAGTGATTGCATGGCTAGTCACTATGAGCACCTCAATATTTGTATTTCTGTGCATGGAACGAAAGAAATGGGTCATGTCAAAATGGAAGGACCCTGTTTCGTCAATGTTGTTTACTATATAAGGACTCGGTTTTGTCTCAGTATAGGACCCGGTTTTGTTTTGTTTTGAAATCACAAATTTATAAAAAGCTACGTTAACACGGATCTGAACATTGCCAATCGGAAGAAATTGAATATGTGAGTCAAAAAGATGTTATAAAGATGTTATTGCAATACAAACATGTCGTGTTAAAATATATTTCAAACGGGAACTTTTCGAAATAGGGAGTAGACATTTTTGAATGCTATACGTATACCTTATTGAACTTATCTTCGAACTAAATTTAAATGGTAATAAATACTTTATAGCATGTACTTACATTAATTCCTTATGATATAAAAAAGAAGATGTGATGTGGTTGCCAATGAGACAGCTCTTCACAAGAGACCAAATGACACAGAAATTAACAACTATAGGTCACCGTACGGCCTTCAACAATGAGCAAAGCCCATACCGCATAGTCAGCCATAAAAGGCCCCGAATTGACATTTGTAAAACAATTCAAACGAGGAAACTAACGGCCTAAATAATGTACAATAAAATGAACGAAAAACAAATATGTAACACAGCAACAAACAACAACCACTGAATTACAGGCTCCTGACTTAGGACAGGTACATATATACGGAATATGGCGGTGTTAAACATGTTAGCGGGATCCCAAACCTCCCCCTTACCTGGAAAATTGGTGTAATAGTACAACATAAGAACGAACTATAAAGATCAGTTGAAAAAGGCTTAACTCATCACAGATGGATAAAAATAGAAATACATCTCTCAAATGTTTGTTTATTTTCAATACTACTGTAATGATGTAAAAATAAGAAGATGTGGAATGATTGTGTTACCATATCAATTTATCAAAAGAGTGAGGATAGTATGCTTTACTATACTATACGCTATGTTTACAATATATTAACTCATTCGTTCATGCATCTATTGACGGACAGTGAGAGAAAAAGCTCCGTTTTGAAGGCCGTACTTTGACATTTTTATTTATTTCCATTTTAATTTAGTTCGAAGATAAGTTCAATAAGGTATACGTATAGAATTCAATTGTTTACTTTTACAAATTGTGACTTGGATGGAGAGTTGTCTCATTGGCACTCATACCACATTTTCTACATAAACTGTAAAAAAACTAATGTGAAAACTAACAACCTGATTTATGTACAAAATAAAAAACGAAAAACAAATACATGTATGATATACAGCACCAAAAGACACAACCACCGATTTACAGGCTCCTGGATTTGGTACTGGCACATACAGAATGGCGGGGTTGAATGTGAAAGCGCCCCCCCCCCCCCCAAAAAAAAAAACAAGAAAAAAACTGCGGTTTAACAGCACAACATATGAACAAAAATTCAATGAGTTGAAAAAGGCTTAACTCATTTGATTTCAGAGCCCCTATAGTAAATATGCGATTGGCGGCTGTCTCTGTTTTTTCGTCTTTTATTAAATTTTATGATGGTATACGATATAGTAACATTATATCAGTGGTGGATCCAGGGGTAGAGGGAGTACGCCGATCCCCATCCCCCTCCCCTATACCCTTTTTGGTGGCTAGAAATAATTATTTATTTTATCATGTTTTTTACGATTTATATATGATTTCTTTTAGTATAAAATCGTTAAATAAAAGTTCCCCTTGCTACGCTCGGCGGTATAAAATCCGTTTATGAATTGTTAATGAACGTTTAGTTTCAGAAAATTTATTTCCAAATGATCATACTGTCTCTCCCTTGAAGTAGAGCGGAACATAAAGAAAACCATCTTGTTGTCCCAGAAAATCGCATATCAAATGTGCGTCCTTAAATTTTCAAGGCCGAACACTATTTAAGTTTGAACACTTAAATTTACATTGTTGATATAAAAAAATCTAATTGCGTTACAAAACCTTCATTTCTTTTTATTTTTTTCCTTTTTTTTTTTTATACAAAACAAAATTGAAATTTGCTTTGTTCTAACATAGCAGGAATTCAAGGGTCTGCTTTGTGAAATTTAAGGACAAAACCGGGTCGTACACATTGACAAAACCGGGTGCTTCAATTTTGACATGACCCACTTCCTTCATTCCATGCACAGACATGCAAATATTGAGGTGTTCATAGTGACAAGTCTTGAAATCACCGAGTTAATATCTTTCTTTCCGTACCTTTCTTTCCGTACAATGTGCTCAATTTAAAGAGAAATTAAACATATTCGAGAAAGTATTACATCACACTATCGAAAATAGTTATATGTGTATGTTTATTCTTCAATATCATTAAAACAACATATAAATAAACAGAATTTCTACCTTTCTCTGTCTGTTGATTGTCCGTCACCGTACCGGACATTAGATACTGTTGAGTCCAAACATTTTTCGCCGGGTTAGTTTAGACACAGTGAATCTGTCAACCTTTAAAGTTGTGAACTATATTTATTATACCTCAGTTATCATTTTCTATACAAAATAAGTACACAATATTTTCATTATTTTTCAAATTGCAAGCGTTTGACTATTTGACCGGTCAATTGTTTCAAACTATTTGCCCTCGATGAAACTATTTGACCGCAAGCGTCAATATATTTCGCGGAATTTCAACGGGTTTTTAACAATTCATTCGGGACTATCGGAATTCACCTCAATTATTAACGTCGATTCCAGAGTCGTTCGAATACTCACCAAGTCGCATCATACGACAGGATCTTGGCTCAGTCAGGGCGATTTGCGTCGCTTTCCGATGGAGATCTGGAAGGATCAATTAAGGACTTGTAATTTAAACATATTTCAGATCGCAGCCGGATTTCAGTCTCGCTCAGGTTTCGCTATCAGCAGTATCAACAATTGTTCTGTATTTTTTTACTTTCAACAAAAGTAATGACAGATCAATAAATTCGTTAAAATTGTTGTTCTGTTGTTGAATTTATTCTGTTGTTTTGAAAAAAAAAGATGAAGCTTTCAACTTACAATTGCCTGTTTGTTATTAGAATGCATATTTACAATCGAATATTTGTCATCACTATGTGTTCATTGTCTCTTACAAATGTAAAAGTGAATTTTGGTCAGCTGTGTTGTTCAGTCCTTGGCATAACTTTGTGTCTGTTGTCTCTTTCGGTATAATAAAACACTTGCTCACTGGATATTTGTGGAACAATAAGTTTATTGTCCCCTCTCATTCAACTATTGCCCTTGGCTACGCCCCAGGGCAATAGCTGCACCTCGGAGGACAATAAACTTATATTCCACTCATACCCAGTCAATAAGTATAAATTAACAGACTATAAAAAGTTGTCTTTAACACCAAATACTTTAAAAGAAAAAAAAAATTAAGTAATGATTGACGAGGTTTCTGACTTTGGACATGCACAAAAATTAACATGTGACTGGTCTATCTTAACTAAATGACTACCTGTAACAATTGACGAGCAATTAATCAAGCACTTCACTCGATTACAGAATATAAAAATATCGAAATAAGTTTAACAATAATAAAATACGACAAATTAGTTATTGAAAGCAAGCTCATATTTATGAAATTCGTGATATAAAAACTGACAAAAAATAAAAAAAATTGTCACAAGTTCTATAAATTTTATTTTTTAACATAATAACTGGTTTTTACAGATACACTATGACACCTTAACTTACCGTTGACCTTTTTGCAAGTATTAGTCTAGCTTCATGACTGAGAAATTCCCACCAATTTATACGTCCATCTTTGTCCGTATCTATTTTCTTAAACTGTAAAATGATTTGTTGTTTTCCGCTGTCTGTTGATGCCATGTGAATCGTTTTATTTTTGTAATTTACAAATTCTTCTTGCGAAATATACGAATCTGAATGATAAAAAACCGTGTGTACACTCATACTACTTTTATATACACAAAAAAAAATGCTTTATTGTCATTGAAATCAAAATTATAAAAGTCGGGGATTTCCCGGAACAGCTATATAATTTAAACACAACAGCATACTATTTTGAAAATAAAAATTACTGATTTTATCAATCTGGAAAATATCAATAAATGATCGTCTAAAATGTATGCCATATGTATTTATCTTGGCGCTTTATAATCATGCCCAACTTTTCTATGCAAAGCCTAATTACCGTTATTGGAGTCTATTTCATCAAATATCTCAAAAAGAGTTGAGGTTTCTTTGTCTGTTAGAAGAAGTGATAAGTTTGCCTGAAAAAAAGAGGAAATGAAAAAAACATAGGACATGAACAAAACAAAACAAAAGACACGATGCCAAACTTAGAAACTATCACATTTGGTTTATTTTTTCAGAGATTAATGAAGCGCTTAAACTTACAGGAGAGAATTTACATAGTCGGTATCGATTACTGAAATGCAACAACAACAGATTTACTTATTATAAAACGCGTTATCAAACTTTACAAATTTCGGTTAGCTGTCCTAACAATATAGGTAATGAGTGTTGAGTCAATGAATTGCTTTTATCTACTTCATTTGAACTCTGATGGATAGTTGTCCCATTGGCAATCATACCACATCTTCCTATTATAACTGGTGACGATTTTGGACATAATTAAATTTTAAAAGTAAACGTAAATATTTATTGTCATACTGTTTTTGATAGATTAGAAGAAAGATACTTTGAATAAAAGGAGATGCGGATTATATTTAAATGAGACAACAATCCAACGACACAAAAAAAAATCCACATATTAATACATTTTTTACTTTGCAAGAAAATTAATATTCTTTTCAAGCATATATCATTTGCGTTGCATGGACTGACTTTAGAGTCAGTACTTCGGTTTCGGTATAAATGTGTATAGTAACTGATCATAAATTGTATGCTTGTGCTCTCAAACATTATATACATTTGGCATTCCAAAATTTGATCTCGAACGTTCATGAAAAGGATTATTCCAGAAACACGTTCTTCGTGCACGCGAGAATCGATATCATACGGTTTGTTTTGTTTTGGTTCATATTTTACAATTTATGGCTGTTTTTTTTTTATCCTTTCTTGACGTGTTTTGCTATCATTTATTTTACAAATTATGTCTCATTCTAAACCATAAGTTCTAATATATTAAATCATAAACCTGAAAAAATGATTGCCCTTCACCCCAGATATAAATAGGTTGATCATCCTAGTACCATTCGCCATGTAGTCGTAGCCAAATTGATTTTCATTGCTACTGAAACCAAGGTTTCAACTTTATCAAGCGAAACTAATATTCAATTTATAATGTATTGGGCTAGTGTTTTTAAGGCTTTTAGCCATTTTATTGTTCCTGAAGTGTTTATATTTTTAAATTTCCAATCTTTGTCTTTTATTGAAAGGGTAAAAGTAAATAACATCCTGTATCCGGATGTCAGATTTTAAGGTTACCACAAAATCCCCAAATACTTGTGAATAAATTGATTTGAACTTACACATCTATAACAGCTCCAGCCACTATTTGTATGTCTTCTATCTATGGTAACCTTGTCAAACTGGGAACATTCTGAATCACTCAACAATTGTACACAGTTCTTATGGAAGGCACGGGTGCAAACACGACAAGGATATACATCCTTACTGAAGTGAGGAAAAAGCTCTTCGCATACAAAACAGTACTCATCGTGACCATTTTTATTAAGCTGTAAGTAACAATTAACATTGACATTTTGGTATATTAAATTGAGATGTTATTTTTTTTTTTTTTTTTTTTTTGGTTTATCCCAATAAAAATCTTTACATTCTGTATGTGAAGCCACTCTGTGCTTTCATTGTGGTTTTGGAAGGAGTTATAGGGAGTACATCAGTAAAGCAGCATCACAACGACACAAAAAAACCAAAAAAAACCAATTTATATTCCAACATGCTTTCATCAACAACAAACAACTGACTATATCGTAGGTCATGCTCTAAGTTGCCTCGAGATGGAAAAATATTTAACAGAGACTATCAGTTTAAAGATTATCCATACACATCAAATTCCTTAAAATGACTCAAACCTTAAAATACCGAGTAGATTAACAAAAGACAACCACTGATGTTGTTCCTTACATTGGACGCTACTACTAGGGTGTGTTTAATGACCTTGTCTACTATTACTACCCATGAAGGTCCCGCACGCTCGGCTCTTGGACATGCACATGAATATTTGTCGGTTTTGTAATCTCAACCCTCCTATTTATTCTCGTACTATGGAAAACAATGTATATAAAAGAAAAAGCAATAAAATCAGTACAGAAAACTCGGGACTTTATATTACCGGCATAAAAGATAAATAACACAAGTCAAACAAACCAATAACAAATTAAAAATTAATTGTTCAGAGAACAATTGAAGGTCTTTCCACCCCAAATAGACATGTCTAGACAGAAAAATATTCAATATTGGTTTAGAATGTCAATTCTGGTGTCAGATAATAGCTTAATTTATGTTGATTCCGAAAATATATGATGTTTATATACTTTTGCCTAAAATAAGATATATAAGTAGTTATTTCCGGTTTACAAAATACTATGTCTGGTTACATTTGAACCTTACTTCACCCCAATTCCAAAAGTATAAAGTTCTAGTAAATTGTACATGAAAATAATGCAAAGATGGCTACTTCCGGTTTACAAAAAGGTCACTCCCGGTTGATATATCAGTAACCAAATGTAAAAGACCATTTGACTTTATCTTGAACCAATAAGAAGTAAGAGCAAAGGACAAAATCGAGAACGTCAAATCAAGGTCATAAAACAAGGACCTCAAATCAAAAGACCCTAGGTCTCTACTATATATGGTTAATGAGTTATGTCATCATAAAGCTAATTCTATATATAAGAGGGAAGAAAACTATTAAATGTATACGTACCCTTTCAACCAAAATTTACGTGTTGCGACATGTCGTAACTAACAATTTTGTTAAAATATTTTGTCAAAATCTTGTACGGTTTCTGATGAGAAGCTATAATAAGCAAAATCAAACTTCAAAACATGACCTTGACTTTTGACCTTGACCTCATTTTCTTTTAGGTGGACCCTACGCAGGGAAATTTCATTCACATCAATTTCACGTGAATATAAGTTAATGTGAATTTCACCTCAAACGAGATTATACGTGAAACTCACGTGAAATCAGTTCATATGAGTTTCATGTGAATCTCCTGTGAAATAGCAAATAACATCTATTCACCATTCAACTTTAAAAGTAGTTTACTCTTGTGTTACAATTATATAGCTTATGTCTGTTCCTGAACTTTAATAATATCTGATGGAAGCAATGAATATCCAAATTTGTCAACCCTAAAAAGTTATTTCATTATTGGCTGAAATATTGAATTTTGAATTTTGCAAAAAAAAAAATAATGGACGTACTTTAGCGCGGGAACTTAAATAGTATACAATGTTTGGAAGATGGGTAATATATTTGAGTTCAAAACTCATTTTTAAACTTTTAAAAAGCCGTAATGTCACAGGCACTTGTCTTTGGATTTTCTTTTACCTGTATGCCTTAATTTAACACTTTTTTCAAAGACAAGTGCCTGCGTGTACTGTATACAGGGTTAGAGGGAATATCGGTATGTCTGCAGATATTGTTGATACTCTCTATCAGTTGGTCATGTTTCGTTTGGCATTTTAAAGTTCTCATCACGAATATACCTGAAAGACAAACTTTTTTTAACAAACATTTTTGTTGTTGTTTGAGGTTGTTAAATGTCTTTTCTAATAGTCATAATAGAGAACTCAAGTGTCATTATAAATTATATGGACCTACCGTGTACTCTACGTCTCTAGGTTTTGGCGCTGGTACCACAGAAAATTTTCGTACTCTAAATTGATACCGTTCCGTAATCTCTATTTCCTCTTCGTCTTCTTTCAAATCTTTTACCATGTGTTCAACAAATTTAACCAGTTCAGCACGTTCCTTATTGTGATCTTTACAATGTTTTGCAAAACTACCGATTACCTTAGCTTTTGGAATGAAGGAATCCCACAAACTTTTGTCGGCCATTATGGGACAAAATATGGAATGACAGTTTTTTAAAGTACAATTGCAATTAAGCAGCTAACACAAGAATAAAACTGACTTTAATCTAAATGTGAAGTGCCATTAGATATTTATAGATATTATGTAATAATAATTTTGAGGCTTACTTGGGATTATCCATTAGTAAACGCGTCACTGATAGAGCTTGATCCATACTTATGATATTTTAAATCAAGTGTAAATAATTGACTTTAACTTCTTTATATTTCTTTTTATTGATTTTAATTCCAGATATTATTGTATTTATATACATAATATTATTATATTTTCAGACAAAAAAATTAAAGAAACACGTGTTTCTAGTTGCATGGCACAGAAAAGACCAAATTTAATATAAAAAAAGTGACAAGGTTGAGTGGGTAAGAATGCTTGGTTCAGGCTTATAGGTACTAAACATTAAAAGAAAACGTGAAGATACAGAAACATCCACTGTCGAGTCTCGTGATAGGCACTCAATTATTCAGCGGGATTAAACTAGCTCCGTGAATTCTCTCTACTCTTAACCCCCTTGCTACCACGCGGATATTTAAAACTCCATTGCTGAGACACTTCCACACGTACACATACTTCCTTTCAAAATACTTTTTTTACATTTTTTTATAATGTTGATTATAACCCCTGGAATACAGGATATACGTATTATTTGGATTTTGATTTAAATTCAATTCAATTCAATCTCTTTACTGTCATTTAACTTTACAGTTTATGTCATGTAAGTAAAATAATATTTATAACTTTTATAAAAATAAAGCATTACATTTTGAAAATACAATTAACCATTTAATACATTGTGATAACAATCATAGCAATTGACACTGAACTATATAAAAATAAGAATATGTGGTATGATTGCCAATAAGACAACTCTCCACCAAATAAAGTGGATGTAAGCCATTATAGGCAACCGCACTCTATTAGGTCCTGCTTTTTTTTTTATTAGTTTATCCTGACTTTTTTTACATTAAATTGTCATCCTGCCTTTTTTTTGGGCCAAGTTGCTCATCCTGCCTTTTTTTTTTACTCAAAACTCCTGTCCTGCCTTTTTTCAAATTTCGTCCGAACACCCCCCCCCCCCCCCCCATAAAAATCAAATGGTAGCTCCCTAAAAGGCCCCGACATGAAAAATGTGAAACAGTTCAAACGAGAAAACTGACGGCCTAGTTTATAACAAAATAATTTACGAAAAACAAATATGAGAGATATGAAGCAACAACAACCAATGAACTACAGGCTCCTGACTTGGGATAGGCACATAAAGGATGTGACTGTTTGATGAAATGAATCCATACGGAATGAAAAGTAGATTTTTTGGTGGGTTTTTTTAATGTGTTTTCTATGATAATTACATTTTAGTTGCATAATAGAATTAAATGCAGCATTCGCTTCTTATATTAACACTTCTTCGAAATAAAATATATATGTTTGAAATCTGAAAGTAAAATTTGAAACACAAAAATTCGTTCGAAATTGTTTAGAAAAATTAAAGTTGTATCTTTCCACAGGAACTCAACTATACATGTACGTGATATTGGTGAAATTTACAAAATGATTTTTTTCGATTTCAAATAGATAGCTAAAAAAATATGTTTTGAATTTCAATAATTATTATATATTACTGATAAACGATTTATTGTTACATATTTCTTTTAATTATTGACTGCTTTTTCAAATTTTATAAAATTTGCAAGTTTTCAAACATTAAGCATTTTTTCGCCAGTCCACGACCAATGTGTAAAAATAACCGACTTGCAAGACCCTCATGCGTAGTCAAGGTCGTTAAAAAAAAACCTCTTCGTGTAGAAATAGATAAATTACGTGGGCTGATCTAAATATTCTATTCTTAATTGGGTTGCTTTTACGAAAGTTGGAAACATAATTATGGCAGAACCAGGCGATTACTCTTGCAACCAATAAAACATCAGTATCTGGATGAATTATACACATGCTGTAAATATTTCCATTTCATACAATACGAATGGAGTGTTTAATTCTGAGAAATTTCGAAAAAGGTGCTCATAAACTATTTTGTATTTTTTCTGTAAACAGTTTTGAACGCATTTCTGCAAAAATATGACATGGGTCTAATGTTCAAAAAAACAATTCTTGTTCTATTCTTCCATTTTAATTGTATACTCTCTCTATAAAAATACAATATCAACTAAGTACCGGTCAGTTTTGGCAATTCATGTGGTTTTTCTTTAAGTTCGAAAACTCTTTGGGGAGCCGAATTTGAGACTTGATGACACAGGCACTTGTCTGTGAAATTTTGTTTCCTGTAAACAGCAAAATTAATAAGCAAGTCAAGATCGGCTAATAAATCAACAAGACTGAAAATGACAGTCGACTCTTTATAGGACTTATTGTCCATTTATGATGATTTTTACCTATCTGTTTTTTGTGTGCATTTTGCCCAATATCTTGAAAACTTTCATTACCACTAATGATCAGCAAGACAAGACCTACAAATAAGCCAAACATGGCCGAAATTGCCAGTCGATTCCCTATATGAGTTATTTCCCTAAAATGATTTATCAACTTTTTTGCATTTTGCCTATTATCTTAAAAAATTATTATAGATGAAAACATTGAATGGCAAATGATCAGCAAGACAAGATCTAAGTTAGGAATTCGAATATATTACTTTGACCTATAATGGTTTACTTTTACAAATTGTGACTTGGACGGAGAGTTGTCTCATTGGCACTCATACCACATCTTCTTATATCTATTCAGTGTTGAAAAGGCAAATAGATCAACGTGAGTGAAAATGCTCTTTAGAGCTCTAGTCTTTGTTTTATTTTGCTGATACTGGTCTATCCGTCTAAATATTTAAGTATACTGGTTATTTTTTTTCCTCTTGTAATACATTTGTTTCTGAAACCGTTTTTAACAAATTCAATAATTATTTGTAATGTCCTCAGTTAGAAACAGATATCATTTCGAAACCTTTAATAGTCACGGGAAATACGATTCCACGGATACTTGAAAGGAATAGAGAACGTGCGGTTGTTATAGTGCATTCTGATACGCGCCATGCTGACGTTGTAGAGTAGATTCACGCATTCAATATCTAGACTGACGGGTTGTGTAAGGCAAACGCGTTGTACATGTCTAACACCCGCAAAGTGGCATATTACAACAACTTACAACTCCTGTTAGCGCCATGTGTTGCATAGGGCGCGAACGAAAGTCTTCCATCTGAGTCTGCTGCTTGTTGTACTTTTCCCCATGCCATCCATCTAATGCCTGTTCTTTCTTTGTCTAGCATTCGTCCCCAAGTTTCCTTTGTTCTTCCTACATTCGATACAAGGCGATTTGGCAATCGTTCCATGGGTCCATCCTTAGGATGGCACCTATCCAACTCCGTCTCCTGGTCTTAATGGTGTTGATGATGCTGCACATGTTAATTGGCTCTTTGCAGTAGTTGTGTGTTGTAAATCGTAGTTGGCAAAAATATCCTAAAGATTCTACGCAAGTTTCTAATGTTAAAGGTGTTAAGTTTTTCTCCATCTCTCTTGCTTATCTTCCAACATTCTGCCCCATATAACAACACTGATGTTACATTGTTTTTATAAATTTTCATTTTGGTGTTCCTACTGTATTGGTTAAATACCCATATATTTCTTAACTTGTAGTATGCTGCTCTTGCTTTTTTTATTCTATGCATTATGTCGGCTGTTGCATTATCGCTGGTATCTATATCAGCTCCGAGGTATGTGAAACTATCCATCCACTCTATTTCTTTGTTGTGTAATGTAATAGAATGGATGTTGTTTACCTTTACACGCAAAGTGGCATATCCGGTTCATTTATCGCCGTAATTGCCTTGTATCAGCGGAAAGCACATCCAGCGCGGCAGTTTGACGAACCAGTCACTGCAAAAGTTTTACCAAAACGCCAGATGACGTTTTCGTAAATCTAAATTCTGTAGTAGACGTTCTTGCAGCAAGGAAATCTCAAATATCTCTTGGATCGCTCACAAAAAGCATTTCTAATTTGAACGGCATTCGGGTTCTTCCATAGTCAGTCTTGTCACTAGATTTATCACCTATCGAACATTTACGGGATAAACTTGAAGGCGTTATCGACATTGCACAATGGCACAAGAAACCATTGAACAGCCGCAAATCGCTACTCAAAATCAATGTTTGGTTGATTCGTCGAAGATATAAAGCTGCAGTCTAGAAGAGGTCATACCCGATATCAGCTAGATACAGCAAATGACGTTGCGAATTGATACTTTTATCCGCTCGCCCTTTAGAGCATCTTCATATTTTTCACATTAAATTTTGAATGCCATATCGTCGGTGATCACTCTTGTAATAGTTAGCTTTTTATTATATTTTTTTTAATGTTGAAAAATAAATCTGTATCTGTATCTGCGTATTTTTTCTGGTTGCAAAAAGTTAAATTTTGACATTTCTCACTGTTCTACATGATGTATACTTTTTTCCAGGTAATATGGTTATGCCTTTGAAATTTAATTGAAACGTAGGTGCTATTAAACATTTATCTGATTAATATTTACTTGCACGTGGTGATCGATATGTTCCATTCGCTCACATATATACCCAATTTTTGACATTTTTGGAAGAAATATTGAACTTATGCTATCTGTCTGTTGACTATGAAATCTCGGTGATATTCATTGTACTTTGACTTTTGCACATACGTCTGATATATTTAAATATAAATATTTTATAGCACTTCGGTTTTTCAGACCAAATAAAGCCCTTTTTAAAGCTCGAAAAGACCTATCATTGTGAGTCTTTCATTTCCTGGTATCGAAAAGTTCTATGTTTAAAATCATTTATGAACTATGATCTTTTTTATTTGTGACTCTATCTTCCTTTTATCTTGGTTGATAAAATTATCAAAATAAAACAGGTTAACAATTTCGGAAATACCTTTAATACACTATGTGACAAAGGTGTGCGCTGTAAGTAAACATTTTAAATTCATTTTTATAAAGTAGAATATATTTTTTTCTGAAATGGACACAC